AATTTAATCAAATATTAGCCAATAATTACTTATTATTAGACACGGTGCCATTTTTTTTCACTAGAATCTCATACTTAACACAGAGAATTTACCAATAATTTTTAACGCTAAAAAGGCAATGAAACCGTAAAGTTATGCAGCGAGAAACATTTACCTTATTCATGAAAAGAGGTGGGAGATAAATTTCAGAGCACGTTGCGATAATAATCAAAGGTTTACGCTGTTTTGCAGCAAATGAACGAGGAACCAGGGCAGGGAGAAATAAAGAGAGAGAGAGAGAGAGAGAGAGAGAGAGAGACGTGGGAAAAACACGATTTAAATAATAACTGGCTCATCTTTATCTCGGTATAGTTTAACCAGGAATTCTAGCGCAGGTACAACGCGGTGATTCCAGCGTTTTTATTCGAGAGAGCGAGAACCCGGCAAACAAGACTAACCGATCGTCATTAATTTCTGTTCCAGGCTCGCGAGAGATAATTAATGCGCGGTCGAACAACGATTCTCCGCTGCGAGGAAATAAAAAACGTACGGAGTAAGAGAGAGAGAGAGAGAGAGAGAGAGAGAGAGAGAGAGAAAGGGGATGAGCCGGGAGGAGGGGACCTCGGAAAATAATTGCGCGGAACACAATCTGTTCGCCTTCCAATTAGAACTTCTTTTCGCCGCGGCTCTCTATTTGTTGCACCGGAACTTCTCGCGTAACTTTTTAATTAAATTTTATTCATTAATGTGAGAGCGTATTAACCGGGTAAATGAAAACCTTTGCGCGCCCGGAGTTTGATAAAAACCTAAGATGTCCGGCAAATGTGCGCGGTCCGTTTATTATGGGAACGCGACGAATCCGGGTTTGAACGAGAGCCGCGATTAATTTTTCAAAATCTCCCTACGTCCGCTCGCCCTCCGAGTAATTAAAAATTATGACCCATGCGGATTCCCTCCCACCACCGGTGAAACTGATACCCGGCGCGAAGAGGATATAATTAAATAGGATAATAGAATTCTCTTTCCCGAAACGGGCGGAAATCCTCCGCGGTACGGCGATGTTGAATTAATACGTTTCTACTTTTATCAAGTCGCGCGAGAGGAATTTGTATATTCCAGTAAATTTAATTATCTTCGCCGGAGTCAATTCGCAGATTCGATTTCCATAGATTTCAACTCTTTTTCCTTTCGAATAAGCTTCTGTATTTATTACCGTGCTATTGTATTTTAGTTGACTTTTATTCAGTTTAATAATTCGTTCTTAATTCAAGAAGTGTTTGGAGATCAATATAATATCGTATCCAAGATCGTATGGTCAATTGTTGGTTGATCATTGATCCAGGTCCTATATTTTCTTATTGGGCCTCCAGTGGGCCTCGAGATTCGACCTGCGCCTGCAGTGTACCGTTTTTCCTTTTCCGAGACTGTTATCTTTAAATAAGAAGCATCTTAAAAATTGTTTTAGAAATTCATTTTTATATTGAATACAACAAAATCTGATAAATATTATATTATGCAATTAATTTTCGTGCCGGGCGCCGAAGCGGCGCCGCTCGAGTGTAAAGGGTTAATAGACAGATGATAATGCCAAGCTTCTTCATGTCGTGTCCTATAATATAACAGATTGGAAATCCGGATCTCTTCAGGACGTGACGAGTTCCTTCGCCGAGGTAACTAATTAAAGAGGAATCGGCATAGTCAAAGGATCGTAGAATTTCAGCGCGATCCGTATGGTGGGCATTCTCTCGCGTCATTAAACCCCGAACAAAAAGTGTATACCCAGCGAGAAAATGGAGAGGAAAGAGGGCGGAAACAGAGAAATGGCAGGAGAATAGGAAAGAAAAGGGATCCCTGACTAGGGAGACGCCTACGGCAGGTGAAATCTAACGGAAGATTGAAGAGGGTGACCGGTTGATGTTACAAAGCGGAGAACGCGCGAAAAAGTCTCGCTGCAAAGAGGGGTAATTAGCGTCGGCCCGCTCTGCCGTGCCGGTAGATTAATTAAAACGGCCAGGCTCCTTGAAAACGCGACGTCGACGGTTACTTAAAAACGAGAAAAGGAAACGGCCAAAATGGCCTGCCGATGAAAAGGGCCGCCTTCCCACCCGAATATAATTGAACAGTTTTTCCCGTGGAGGAAAAAACCGACCTCGGCTCTCGATAATTCACTTCCATTGTGTCCCAATTTTCCCTCCGTTTCGATTTCGCTTAGACTCCATTTCGTTTTTAGATTTAGAAAAAATGCTCCAATATTTCAAACATTGAAACTTGAAATTAAATGAGATCGTGACGAAATTGTAGAATAATCATTATCTGAGCTCTAAACACAGGATCGACGTTTATGTTAACTTTCAGGAATAACATCGGGTAGTTTAGACTTGTTTCCTTGTTGATTTAATAAATCTGCTACAACCAGGGAATTGTAATCTTTACTATAAAGTCCTTAACTATGTACATTCGTAAAAAATCTGTTAAACAGAGAGAACGTTTTTATAATCTTCGAAGGATCGAGTGTCAACTAACATTAATAACGCATATGATCCATTTCGCCAACAACTACTACGTATACAGATACGTGCGATTCTCGTTACTCTTTAGATCTTATAAAAAACGACTTATAGCTACCGTGTTACAGGTGTACACCGCGGAATGCACGTCTTCGATTTCGCGTTAACATTGATACGCGTGAACGAACAGATTTCACTCGCCTGAACATACCCGAATCATCCATTTTTCAACACTACATTCGTTAACTCCAACAATTTTCGTAACAGTATTTGTTAATGAGGACAATTGGACCTTCTGTCTTTGTTTAACCCTCGTGGTCCCACAGATCTAAACAAAATATCATTCTTGCTTTTTTTTATTTCACGCACAAACACAGCAGTGAGGAGCAGAATACATACGCATACGTGTACAACAGTGAGTCCATATTCGTATATTTAAGAGGACCTGTTATATCAAAATGGTACAAAGGCGTTTTGAAAAGAAATGCCTGTCTCCTACGATGTAGGGCTGAAATTAAACTACGCATGTGTTATAATCGTATGTACATAGTTTGTCGAGTCGCAAGTGAGCCACTACTTATTTCATAACCACATTTTCATTTTGCTAACGAGGGAGGAGCAACTGGGGCGCAGTAAGCAAAAGGACGTGATTGGGGGTGTGTAGGTAAAGTCGATGGAAGAGTTTTAGCGAGGTCGTAAAATTAACCCATCATGATATTCTTTATAAAAATTAGTAAATGATATCGATTCCGGTGACTCGCTTAGAACCATCTTTACCAAACATGAAAATACTTTTTATTGGACGACAGAGAAATTTTACTGGAATTCCCGGTTATGAAAATTTGGCCTACTTTGCGTTCGAGCTTCAGAAAGGTCATCAAATGCGGCTTATTATAAAAATTATTATAGTTATCGAAGCAATAAATTCATAAAAGACATAAGAGTTCTTAAGGGTCTCGCGATAAGGTAGACTGTCAATGTTACCCACAAAATATGCTTTCGTCCTTTCGGTTAAGGCCGGAATTGTAGAGTACCCGTACATTCCAAGAACAGAACGCGATCTAGGAAGCTGTAATCACGATTGCGCGTCAGCATAAAAAACTGTGTAAAAAGTACTAAACGTGAGTTTCACACTTTAGAACGTTAGGCTCTGCTTCGCTTCCAATGTATTTTTCATAGCGCGCAGACGTCCGAATAAAGTAAAAGTAAAAAGTGAAATGAAAAAAGTTTCATTTATTAACCCATTTCCAATAAACGTTCGAAAAAATTGAAATTGATAGAAATCGTATGGGAAAATGTGAAAATTGCTTTTCCTAACTTTTTTATCTGGGCTCGTAATGAAAAGTTAAACATGTTGAATATTTTCGGAATTTTCGTTAATACACATCATCAATCATGTAATCAAAATGATCCCGCGAGCAAATCGTTTTTTCCTTCGCCCTTCCCCTTGCAATTTTTCTCCTTAACTCGTATCTTCCATGGCTGTTTCTTTTCTCAAAAATAAAGCTTCTCGAATCTTTGTACCGCTCCGAAATAATTCGTTTCCCGCAATGTATTTGAAGAAAAGGAATAAACGAATAAATGGTTAGAAATCTGATGAAGGAAATGGTAAAAGTTTTTGCGGCATTTAAACATGGATTTCTACGTGCTCTCAGCCCAACCCTCCCACTCCGACTTTGGGTTAAGCTCTGATATGCGACGCACATACACACATTTCACGTAACTTCGTTCTCGAAATTCCATCGTCAACAACATGAAGATTCGTACTTAAATTGATTATGGGGAACACGGAAGACTACACATTTCTCTAGATGGTGTTGATTCTATTTCCCGGCGACGAGAATAGAATATAACAAGTTGGCCGGGAGAGGAAAGTCGCCCCGACGTTTATCCCGTTCGAGGTAAACGTATCGAAACGGGCGCGGCACGGGCGACTGAGACAAGACGAAAGTTCACGAGTTGTGGGAGAGTCCGAGTTCGTTATTAGATCGCCGCTGCGTGACGACAGCGACGTTATCTCGACCTAAACGTTCCGAACGTATTTTCAAATTTAATAGAATCCGCTGGACACTTGGGTCTAACAGCGAACTCGGCTATCGATCGCAGATAAAGGAAAAGTCTCACCCGTGCAATGTTTCCTGACAATTCTACAAAGTAACGAAATTATTAACCTCCGCGAAAGCAAGTGTGACAATTGTACAGGGTGGAGCACAGACTACGTCCACCTTGAATATTTTGAATATTGCCATTATCTGTAGTAGTACGAAAAAATGTTGTATACAAAACTTGCACTGTTTAATGGAGGGGGGAGGGGGGCAGATTGTGATACGAACATTTTTTGCAGGAGTAAAGGAATTTAAGAAATTTATTACGTATTACTACAAATAATGGCAATATTGAAAATGGACATATTTAGTGCTTCACCCTGCATGATTAGTTATGCCATACGTGACGCTTTGTGTAACCATAAGTGATGATGGTTCATGACTTCGCGATTTCAGTAAACGTTTCCGGTGACTCGCTTAGAACCATCTTTACCAAACATGAAAATACTTTTTATTGGACGACAGAGAAATTTTACTGGAATTCCCGGTTATGAAAATTTGGCCTACTTTGCGTTCGAGCTTCAGAAAGGTCATCAAATGCGGCTTATTATAAAAATTATTATAGTTATCGAAGCAATAAATTCATATAAGACATAAGAGTTCTTAAGGGTCTCGCGATAAGGTAGACTGTCAATGTTACCCACAAAATATGCTTTCGTCCTTTCGGTTAAGGCCGGAATTGTAGAGTACCCGTACATTCCAAGAACAGAACGCGATCTAGGAAGCTGTAATCACGATTGCGCGTCAGCATAAAAAACTGTGTAAAAAGTACTAAACGTGAGTTTCACACTTTAGAACGTTAGGCTCTGCTTCGCTTCCAATGTATTTTTCATAGCGCGCAGACGTCCGAATAAAGTAAAAGTAAAAAGTGAAATGAAAAAAGTTTCATTTATTAACCCATTTCCAATAAACGTTCGAAAAAATTGAAATTGATAGAAATCGTATGGGAAAATGTGAAAATTGCTTTTCCTAACTTTTTTATCTGGGCTCGTAATGAAAAGTTAAACATGTTGAATATTTTCGGAATTTTCGTTAATACACATCATCAATCATGTAATCAAAATGATCCCGCGAGCAAATCGTTTTTTCCTTCGCCCTTCCCCTTGCAATTTTTCTCCTTAACTCGTATCTTCCATGGCTGTTTCTTTTCTCAAAAATAAAGCTTCTCGAATCTTTGTACCGCTCCGAAATAATTCGTTTCCCGCAATGTATTTGAAGAAAAGGAATAAACGAATAAATGGTTAGAAATCTGATGAAGGAAATGGTAAAAGTTTTTGCGGCATTTAAACATGGATTTCTACGTGCTCTCAGCCCAACCCTCCCACTCCGACTTTGGGTTAAGCTCTGATATGCGACGCACATACACACATTTCACGTAACTTCGTTCTCGAAATTCCATCGTCAACAACATGAAGATTCGTACTTAAATTGATTATGGGGAACACGGAAGACTACACATTTCTCTAGATGGTGTTGATTCTATTTCCCGGCGACGAGAATAGAATATAACAAGTTGGCCGGGAGAGGAAAGTCGCCCCGACGTTTATCCCGTTCGAGGTAAACGTATCGAAACGGGCGCGGCACGGGCGACTGAGACAAGACGAAAGTTCACGAGTTGTGGGAGAGTCCGAGTTCGTTATTAGATCGCCGCTGCGTGACGACAGCGACGTTATCTCGACCTAAACGTTCCGAACGTATTTTCAAATTTAATAGAATCCGCTGGACACTTGGGTCTAACAGCGAACTCGGCTATCGATCGCAGATAAAGGAAAAGTCTCACCCGTGCAATGTTTCCTGACAATTCTACAAAGTAACGAAATTATTAACCTCCGCGAAAGCAAGTGTGACAATTGTACAGGGTGGAGCACAGACTACGTCCACCTTGAATATTTTGAATATTGCCATTATCTGTAGTAGTACGAAAAAATGTTGTATACAAAACTTGCACTGTTTAATGGAGGGGGGAGGGGGGCAGATTGTGATACGAACATTTTTTGCAGGAGTAAAGGAATTTAAGAAATTTATTACGTATTACTACAAATAATGGCAATATTGAAAATGGACATATTTAGTGCTTCACCCTGCATGATTAGTTATGCCATACGTGACGCTTTGTGTAACCATAAGTGATGATGGTTCATGACTTCGCGATTTCAGTAAACGGAAATATTAAGAACGTATTAATTTTAAATTACTTACTTTATCAGATAAATGCTCGTACCTACGCCAACCACTCGCACACGTTTCTTTGCATTCAAAGTACAATTGTTATAAGTCTCAAGTCTCTAATTTAATTGCAAGTCTTGTCATAGCTTAATTATATCTTGTGTTTTTAAAACGAGATCCAAAGTGAGAAACGAATGTAAGAAATGGACTAAAACAAGGGTATGAAGAAATCTAAGCAATTAAACAGCAATTTAATAAAGGTTTTTACCAAAACCACACTGCAAAGAGAAATACTTTCTACTAAGAAATAAATTCATCGTCACTATATTTAAACTCCGTACAAGTAAACCTGACCGATTCAGATAGATAATTATTTAAATCTCACGATCAAAATTCTGAATGAAAATCGAACATGGACTAAATGATTATTAAAACAAATAAAACGAGGATGTGTAAAGTTGCGGCCGTTCTATCGCCGCTCCCGTGATGCATCGCTGCTGGATGCTCTGTAACAAACGAAAATTTACGATACGATGGTTCCAGCTATGTTCCGTGACGCAACTACGAGACCAATTAAACCTTTGCTATAGATACATACATACATGTATATAAACCTGGTATTGTAGGTATCGCAGGATAGAAATTAGATTTTCATAGAATATGCATTTGTGGTCAACTGATCACGTAATAAAGTTATTGTGATCACAATAGGATTGTGGCAAACAGTAATTGACGTCGAATCAGTGGTGATATTTTTAAGGAGTGATGCAACGTACTCATTTAGGTGCAAACTAATATTATTTTCGAGTGTTTCACGAGGTGAAACGACATTTTTGTTGTAAATCCAGGAGTTGAAAATAGTTAGGACATTGGTTTCGGTTCTTAAAACACTAAATAAGTATGAATAAAACACTAAATATATAAACAGTTATGACTAGACTGCGGATCTTTATGCAAAATAAATCATTTGTAAAGTGAACATAGAAAATGAAATCTAAATTGGAGTTTCTTTTGTGTTTTAAGAATCGTAATATTCCTTCATTTCTCTCATTCCAGCGTGACTGATTGACTTTAAACACTTGCCTACCAGACTCAACTCACTTGCGTTATTCCAATTACGTAAACTCTATTGTTATCTCTGCTCTGTATGCATCATGTACACTAAAGGGCTGCCAAAGCTCGTGAATAAATAAATACATAAATAAATAATATGCATTTCATTTTTTATATCTTGTATGTCCTTAGACATTGAAACAATTTTTTTTACTCTTTGGAGCTACCATTTTTCCATAAATGCATAAAATCCACAGTCTAGTTATGAGATTTCTTCGGTTCTCTGTAATTGTTTCAGTCAGAATTGACATGTAACAATTTGAAACAATTATTTTCGTTCGAATCCCAGTGTAAGATCCTTCTTCCTACATTACAACAACTAATGACTTTCTCGTTCCCCCGGAAAGTCGATCGACTTCACGTCATGATAAACATGTCAACGTTTCTCGCTCGCAATTACCTATATGAAATTGCGCGCGAACAGCATCCCTGTAATACGTCTGAGTGGCGTGTAAATGAAATTTCACGAACTTAGCGAAACTGGCTGAAACGTCCGCGATGACAAACTCTTCCGGCGGAGTTCCGTCGTTCCTCTTTCGTCTTACGTGTCGCCTAGCGGTAAAACTTGCATGTCCGTGACCGAAGATTTCATTTTGATTATGCGGTTTACGGAAAACTCGCTCTTTAGTACATCCATGTTTCATGCGAGCGACAGTGAGTTACGAGATTACGCCTCGCGCTTAATTGTCACGAGGTTCAAACTAACCATTGAATTTTTAATCAACGTTACGTAAATTTAATAATTACGGTATATTTTATCACTATATACAGG